CCTACCCTTCATCGGGATTCTTTCTCCAATGTTTCTTCCTTCCTCTCCACTTCCAATCTTCATCACTTTATTGTCCAAAAACGTTCCTATGTTCTTCAACACCAATATCGTAAAATAAGACATGACGACCAGCCCCGCCACGATTCCATAAACAATCTCACCACCTTTAGTGTTTCTTGCCAATTGCAATCCTAAGCCACCGCAGATAATTCCCAAAATGAGTAGAGAACGGCCATACCAAATATGTATAAATCCCAGGAATCCTTTAACGTGTTGTTTTCGGTAAGCGAGGTGATGCATGAGGCCCATGATAGCTTGAATAATTAAGAGGACAAAGAGAGCTAGACCAGAGCTTGTATGCGTTTTGCCTTGATTCTTGAATAGCTATTGTATGTCAGTTATTTCATTGTGAATTTGAACATCGAATCTGAAGACTCCATAAGAAATCAATGAATTCAATGGTGGATGTACGAAAATACATACATAATCCTTGGACATTGCCAACTTCACACCCAATCCGAAACCAGCAGTCAGCATCACCAAACTGAATGTTTGAAAGGCTGCGTGAATCCACCATTTTCCGAACATAGGCATGAGCATTGCCCCAACCGGGAAGAGAATAACCATGGTAATACCCATTATAGTACCATGGGCAATACTATAGGCGTTGAGTGTGGAAGCCGATATTCCATTCTCTTCACTTCCACTTCCCGATGTAGATGCAGTTGTACCATTAGATAAAAATGGGTTCTCATCCGATTCAATCACAGCAGTTGTGAGATCATAGGTAAATTGCCGGTAGCGACTATCGTCGTGTTGGTTTATAGTATACGAAGTCGAAGTACTGTCGATTGGAGAGCCCAAGTGCCAAGCTGCTATCCATGGTAAAGCAGTGGATGTTGTGTTAGGAAGAGGGCAGTTCGTACCTAATTAATGTCCATCAGCTTACACAGAACTGATTATTGATAAAAGTTTCCCATATCAATACTTTCAGATTGTTTCCGAAGCTCAGAAACAACTAAAGTCTCCGGGTACTACAGCATAACCTACACAGAACATTGGCTCTCATCACTCCTCCGGTAATTCCACTACCCGCAAGCAATTGCACCTGGCTTCCTGGTCCTCCAGTAATTCTTGGTTCTACGTGACCTTGTCCTCCAGCCCTCGCACTAATGGTAACGTTTCCATTACCATCGCTATACATTATATACATATATGCACCGGCCATGGTGCGCCCAATACCTAGTGCAGCCCATTGATATGAATCTGGTGCGCTGAGTTGAAAATATATATTTCCAGTGCCAGCCAAAACCGTTGTCGGAGGAATACCCAGGGAATAGACTGGACCATCTGAAGGAGCGAAGACCGCGAGTGCAGAGACTGTGAAGCTTTATTAGTCGTTACTTTGGTGGCGGTATTGGTGTCATTTAAGCATTGGGGTTGCGCTTAACCTTACCGCATGCCAAGTCCCTAAGTCCGCCGAGCACAGCAAAACTTATCGCAATATTAGGGAACTTCATTTTAACAAAAACTCAATACGATGAAACGAACAATCATGAATGCATATTGAGTGGAAAATTATCTAGAGATTATTCAAACATGACATAAACTGCATGTTGTTAACAAAATTTGTTGACCAAGATTTGAGGTTCAGGTGGAATATATAAGAACATCTTCTGCTTGTCATGGTCCATTGTTCTGATAAAATGTGGCTTACTGCGCCCGTTCAACATTCACACACATTGAGTTGGCGAAGCCAATTATCTTTTGATGATGACCACTAGTCATGGAGAATCAAGTCAAAAAATAAGCTGGGTCGTTCAAATGTCGCATTAGGGGGTGGTTCTCCGTAACAGTACCATTTATGCTTACAGCAATAAAGGCGTTCCACTCCACATCAGGATAATCATCCGAATTTCGTATATGCTGGGAGAATCATTCATCTATTTTGATATGAAGGTTGACTCCTGAAGTTTTGGATGTGTTCTTGTTGCAACGATGAATCTTATACAAGCATCATTTCATTGGCTGTAATTATTGATGCAGGTACAAACATTCACGGTATGTTGCTCGATGAATCGACATCTCAGTATCCAGAATCCAGATGATGACTGTGTCTTCTGCATTTTTTCTTTCATCTTTCAACGGTCAAGTCTCTGTTACAGGGTATATATACAGTAGTAAGCTATTAGGACTCGATCCCTGATACTATGCCTTTTGGACAGATTGTGTGCGTGGCGTAGTGGTAAAGCTTACAACTATTATTGTGTTTCCGCTTACGTAACAGTCTCCATGTTCTCCTACCCTTGCATGGAATGTCTCTTTCTGGGCCTTTCGTAGGGCTGCCATGTACTGAGGCCGATAACGCGCATTTGGCATAAACCCCAAAAATAGATTTCTGCCTAATGAAAAAAGAAATTTTAGAATCTGTATGGTGTGTTTATAGAAATCTAATAAAGAAAGATAGAATTCAATCTTATTGAAGACTTTTTGTGAAACAAATTATATCATTGAATAGCCCTTAGGGTTAGCTTTATTAATCTGTTTTTAGAATTCATTTCGAAATTTTCTATAGGAAGTGTACTAATATTTAAAATCTATCTTCAAATAGTTTTCCTTATAATGCATAGACCACTTTAGGATAAGCGAAATAAGCGAACAAGCTTAATAAGAATTCCTTATCTCAAGCTTAGTAAGAATTCCTTATCGAGCTTATCTCAGCTTATCTCATCTCGAGCTCGTTTAATTTGTATGACTAATATAGCTTTAGTTAGGTTCTATAATATTAAATAAGAGAATTCAATTCAGTACACAACTTTAAAGAAATTAATGAAATAAAAGAAAAAGAGGCTTGATTATTAATTAGAATTAAAGGAATCGATTAGTATATTTCTTTTTGAATTATCTCAAAAATTAAAATTTATATTCAATTCTAACTACTTTCATTATACTTAGGAATCTGTTTTATCTTGATACCTTAATTATTAGGCTCAATGACTAATCAAACCTTGAATAATATTATCAATATTAAACAGAATATTTTAATTCAGTACACAACCCTAAAAGAATTGATAAAATGGAAAGGAAAGAGATGTTATTATTAATTAGAACTTAAGGAATTGATTGATATAATTACTTTTAAATTATTTTAAAAAATGAAATTTATATTCAATTTAATAATACTTAAAGAACAAAAGACCGAATATCAAAATTAGATCTTTTTCAATTTTATTAGGAATATTTTTATATTAAATTTAAATTTCAATTTTTGAGATAATTTAAAAGTAATTATATCAATCGATTCCTTGAATTCTAATTAATAATAACATCTCTTTCCTTTCCATTTTATCAATTCTTTTAGGGTTGTGTACTGAATTAAAACTTATTCTTAAATACACACCACTAAATTCTAAATTAGATTTTAGCTTAGGCAGAAATCTATTTTTGGGGTTTATGCCAAATGCGCGTTATCGGCCTCAGTATATGGCTCAAAAATGTAGAAGGGTGAGTACAAAATGAGATAATTATAATTGTAAATATTAATGAGGATTAAGTGTGAGAATATATAATGAACATCGATGTAATAGTATATAAATTTTTTAAAGACGATGATTATTAAAACCAAATAGTACTTTGTTAAAAAAGCTTCTAGTAATTTTTATTAGAAACAAATGAAAAAACTCAAAGTTATTAACTTTTCCAATCAGAATATTATAAAATTGTATTTTAATTTATTAGATTAGTTTTATTTTGTTTTATTAAATAAAATATATATTATAAAATATAAATATATATTTTTTATGAGAAAAACTTTATAAGCTTTATTAAAAAATACAAAAAGAAACAAAAGTTATAAAAATTCTAATAAAAGTAATATAAAATTAACTTTCCAAAAAAAAATTTAATATAAAATTATTAGAATATAAAAAAATAATTCTAATATAAAAAATATTCTATTGAAAAAAAAAATTAATAAAAAAATTCTTCTAATAATAAAAGATATTCTTTTAATAAAATATTATTACAATATAGAGACACGTGACTAATGATTGAGTAAGCTAGGCTCTATTCTACTAGTTTATATATGAAAATTCTATATATCTTTACATAAGACGGACTCGGACTGTTGGGATTAGTGTCATGTTTGGCTTTTTGCGATGAAACGATTGAGAATGCATTTAAGTCGGATAAGGTTAAATATAATATAGTCCTTGGCTTGAGGTTCAGAGAGTAGCCAACGCTTTAAGCTTCATCAATATGGAGTCATTTCTTTGGACAATTTTAAGGTCAACCTCGAGGTAGACTCGAGGCAGGCTATCGTGGGCCTAGCTAGTGCCATAAATTCGCACAGACAGTGTGAAATAAAGCCTAATAGTAGAAGATGAATAATGTCGACCAGGTGGACGCATCTTTCTAACATCAACAACAATTCCCATAAACCCAAAATCTAGGTATGACCAGAAAATTATGCATCTTTCGGATTCTTTCACATCATATCATATCTTACTAAAAGATTCCAATCTTTCCACATCTTCCGGTAATAATGATTGTGTTCTGGAATATGTTTCCCTGCAAATTTAATTTCATCGCAGGACGTCGACATGCTGCCTAACATTATATTCGAATGATTTGCTCGCCAGTCCCTCGTCTCCTTACTCCAGAACCAAACATTTTTCGGTTCATCTGATGACTCTATGATCTTCATCAACCGTAGGGGTGACTGCTTGGTGACACTATCTCGATTCGATGACCACCGATTGGGCATAATGGGAAACCCTTTTCGCCCTCAACTTGCCTTGCACTCCACACAGCCCCATGTAATGAATGCATGTAAGCATTCGACGGCTGAAGAAATCGTGCTCAGCACCCCACCAATAGTTTACATATCATTTTGACCGTCTACTTTGTTGCTTCAATCGGTTATTGTTTATCAACCCTCCCAAAATTCACTAACGCTTGTATCACATTGTCGGAATTGTGATTATCAGCCAGCTTCATCGATGTCTGACGCTGAACTTTCGTTTCCAGAGCCATTGCCGGAGACATTACCGGAGGTGAAGGGCCACGTGATTCATTTTGATGATGGCGATGGAGCGGGAGATCGAGGGCGCGAAGCCTCACACAGCACTGCATCAGGCAATCTTCGTGATTCAGCCAATAGTCACAATGGCGGTTCGCAGGCAATACGCTCCGATTTCCAGACAGACTACGTAGAGTTGCCGCTTCCCTTCGAATGTGATCAATGCCCTCGATCATTTTATAGGGCTAAAGAGCTTCGATGGCATAAATACAAGCATGCGACTGGGCTGGCCTTCGATTGTGATAAATGTGAGGGAATGTTTCCGACAAATGATGATCTTGAAGCTAGTATACCTGAAAATTCAAATCGAATCTATTGAATCTGTTGAATCTGACTTATAAATAGAAACATATTTCCACGAATTGCAAAAAGACTAGATATGAGCAGCAGCCAGAGGTACTTAAAGCTTCCAGCATTCCGTTAAAAATGCAAAGATACGACCTCTCTGCCTCTCATCGCGAACCGAAACCTCGCGACTTTGTAGGGCTGAAAACAGCTCAAATTCGTCTGGATCCTGCAGAGTTGGACTCGGATGACTCTACTCGGGTGAAGCTTAGACGCGAACCAATATCTTCAGAGAGGCTCCCTGCTGCGGTCAATCATGATGTTAGCCCTGTACCATGCCGGTCAGCTCCAGATCAAATCGCCGAAAATAATCGAGAGCTTTCCGCAGCAAGTGAACTTGTCCCTGTAGAGATAGCTCGGTCAAAACGCGATGATTTGAAAAGAGAAGCTTTTGAAACTCTCGATGAAATGAAGAGCCGTCATCATAGGGAATTTGATGACCTACAGCGACGTATAACACAAAAAAGATATCTTGCAACAGACGAAACTAGAGATGAAATCAATAGGCTGTGTGAGGACATGGAGAGACGACTAAAAAAACGTCAATATATGGAAACGCCGTTGTTAGTGGATTCGGATACCCGGAATCGTCGAAGGATAAAACAGCTCAAAGCAGATGAGTCAAAAGAGCATGCTGCAGCGATTTCTAATATTGATTCGGAGTTACAATGGATGGAGACCGAGAAGGCTCTTCTACAAACTCTTGAGGCCAAGCAAAGAGAACTAGGTCCCGACGATATTTCCACAATCGATACCGTGAAAAATACTGCTCGTGTTTACTTCGATCAAGGAAAGCTGGTCGAGGCTGAACACATGTATTTACGAGCTCTAAATGGGTATCAAAATGCAACCGGTCCCACGCAAATGCTAATCAGTGCGGTGATAAACAACCTTGGTCGCATCTATTACCGGCAGGGTAGTATGACTAAAGCTGAGGAGATGTATGTTCAAGCTTTGGCTAATTTTGAAAGATATTTGGGAAGCAATCACCCCACAACTCGCAACACAGCAAACAGGCTCGGTCATGTTTATCAAAAGCAGGGCAAGCTTCAGGAAGCGCAAAAACTCTTTGGACAATCGACAGCTCCGGGAGTGGAGTCATCTCCAGATATAGTCAAAAATGGGGCTGCAGGAATAAATATTTTGCAATCTGATTTCAAACGAAGAGATAACCTCACAGGTACGAGGAATTTTACCAGCAATAATATTCGAGATCTTGGGAAAGCTTTTCGAAACACTGATGATTCGCATAATGTCAACTCTCAAAATCAATTTGATATTGTACGATGGTCGACCTCAGAAGATGCTTCTTTGCTACGAACTATTGCCAGACTCGGATTGGAAGATTGGCCCGCTGTCTCAACGGTAGTTGGAACTAAGACGGCTGATCAATGCCATTACCGTTATCTCAGATTCGAGAAGAGCTTTGGAATTGACCCTACCTCTTCTGATAAATCCTCGCAGATCAATTTTTTCATGGCTGCTATTGAGAAGAATTCCTCATCAGAATTGGCACACTGGTTGCGTGATCATCGAAATATCTCGGAAGATGGGGATGATATTGTATCGCGATCAAATAAAGGCAGCGCCGAGCTTAAAGAAGGGGAAAATGAGGCACCTTCCACGCCTGGATCCAAATCTCCAATTGCCAGTAAATCTCTCGGTATTGAAGAGTTCACACATGGGAAGAATGCCATGGGGAGGAAAATACTTGATATGGGTATTCAATCAAACCCGGATACCCACAGAGAGAGTTCGAGTCAGCTATCTGCTGAATTAGGTCGCGATCGATATGGAAACACAAAGCACATGCCGGAAAGAACTGCACTCGAAATTGCGGAGTTGAGAGCTGAAAGAAGGGCAGAGATCGAGAGACGTTGTGCGGAACTTGATCCACCTTTAACCAAGGATTTGCTAGCCAGCATACCCTTATATAGAACAACTATCCAAGATGTCCGTCCTTTGACTGAACTTGGCTGGGAATTCTTGAAGCGAAATTTTCTGGCGGAGCGCACTATTGCAGAGTTGAAATCCAGCGATTTGTCAGATTTACCTCACATTAAGAGATCATACAATGGGTTTGGTAGGGAGGATACGGTACGTGGAGTATTCCGTGCTCTTTCAACTTTTATTAATATGAAACAGGGTGACATGGTCGCCAAACGGGATCTCATAGCCAGTGAGCAGCAAAAAGCTGTTACTGACGAATGGCAACATGGGTTCAGTCCAGAAACTCTTAATTCTACCTCTATCGAAAGCCAAAATTATATTGTAGCTTTCACTAATGAACAAGCTTTAAGTTCTGGTCGAGCTAATGAGTTCGACCAGACCATGGGTCCAACCAACGAAGCTCACAAAACTACCCAACTCGAATGTTCTTTAGACGCAGAAAATAGTTCGGCCGGATGCCAGGATTATGCGGGTTCTTACGTTACAAACACTGTCAAGATACTTCGACGGTCAGAGAATTATCATGATTGGGCTGTCGTTGCTCATGGTCATGGATTAGAAAGCCGTGGCGAGTTGACTAGAGATACTTTTGATGTAAATACGAATTTACTAACATCTCAAGGTAAGAATTTGAAGGCATCTGACTCTGTTATGGCCGAACAAGAAGAGCGAATGAAACAATATACGTCTGAGAATAGAAGGAAAGGCATTGTGAAGTTGTCCCAACAGCAAAGTTCAGGGAAAACATGGATACATACTCCCGAGATTCCGGCGAACTCACAGATTGTTGACTCGCAAGACATTGAAGAGAAACTAGCGGAGACAGCAATTGATTTGGCAAAGTTAATATTAGAAAAGTCACAGTGGCTAGGGCAAATGGATGGCGATGAATTGGATCATGCGATAACAATGCTGGGAAATGAAGTCCACAGCATGTTACACGAAAAAGGTTGGCCACGAACAACATTAGCGATGTATCGAGAAGTGCATATCAAAGCAATTCGTGATCTTCTTACCCGCTACCAAAATGATCGAGGCCTGGGATCTTCAACTCTCTCGTCATCGACATTATCTGAAAATGGCGCAAACAATGATTCTCATTCAAGACTACCAATCGAGGACATACCTGATGACCAAAGCGACAACTCTTTTGAGTTCTCCACTACGGATTCCGTGGTATCGGTTGCAGATAGTGTATTTTCAGCAATGTCACTTGCTACGGGGTCCTCGATGTCATCTTTTTCAGTCTCTCAGACTGCAACTGACCGCTTAGTTCGTTTACTCCTTGAAGATGCGATCATAAAGCCACTCTGCGAAGATGCATTGCAGGAGAATGGAATGTCTCGGGAACGATTTGAGCGGAATCTCAGCCGTCTACTGAAGGGCTTTGCTGTCGAACTACGAAAAGAAGCTCAAACTCGAGAACAGCGACAGGCCGCACATCTTGTTCGTTTTCGTGCAAGAAACTCTGCACACGTGATTTGCACTACTCTTCGGATAGAAAAGGAACAAAAAGGCACAAACAATGTCAGTGACTCCAGTGGAGCTTCCCATTTGAATGTTGAAGAAGAAGAAATAGAGTGCGATTTGGACATAGATGACGATTCGGATAGTGGATCTGAGAGTTCTGAAGATGCTTCCGATGACTTTCAGCATCTTGAACTATTTGTCAAGGACTCAAAAGCCTTCGAATTGTTTCGGGAGAAACTACGAATTTTCATTCATCCACAGAAAGCACAGCTACCAATGGTAGCCAGTCGACGAAATAGTTTATCTTCAAAGACAAACAACTGGGCGATTGCATTACCCGGAAAATCTGATGACTTCAAGAGTGAATTTGTTGCGACCCCGAAAGATGTAGGGGAAAGCAGAACTCAGCTCATTGCATTGAACGATTTCCAACGGTATTCAGCAGACACACGGTCAGAGATAATTAGGGGGGTATACCAACCAATCTGGCAAAAGTTGGCACTATTTTCTAATGAGATTTCGACATGGGGAAGACCGCCAGTTGCAATTGGAAAGACACGGATTGAATGGCGTTGTGTGAGTTTTATGCGATAGTCCAGAAACTTGTAATCATGAACTAACAACCGCAGAAATGTGGACAAAGAATTTATGATGATTTCACTGAACTTCGTCCTGGAGCAGCAAATCGACTTAAGCAAGCTCTCACAAATAATGACTCTGGTAGCACCAACACAAACCGAAGTTCAAGGTTCAGTGACTGCAGCAAATCTTTTTCGAAAAGCTTATCTTCCATTTTCACTGTCTGGTCTTCGAACTCCTCGAGGAAAAGTCTCTCCTCTGGCCTACCCACCCACGAACCATCAAAGAATCAACTTGATTCGAACAATCCAAACACCGTAAAACCAATACCGCTTCCAGTCGAGAATGTATATCTCCTTCTATGTTACCCATCTGGTCGCTACGCCACTAGACTTCTGCAGTTGGGTCTTCACAATCTTGAACCTAAATCTGATCAGTCACTCTTCACTATACTTCGAACTAATTATAAATCAATGAGAGGTCGATTCTTGAGCCTGATATCATTGAAGACTCTCAGATCGATAAAATTTGTCCACTTCGAGATGTACCGCAGCTCTCTCATCGACGTGCGTCAAAAAGATGTCATACCACCTCCCGACCACATCGAATATCGTTACTCGCCCGCACCTCCCGAAGTGATTCCTCCCATTGGTGACAATCATCTCATGCACCTCTTTCTGCATCCAGATCACGCCGACGAAGATACTGTGTGTCTTGACCGATTCCCTAAGAAGTTGAAGGAGAAACTTTCTTGTAAAAAAGGACAACCTACAAACTTTGGCTGGGGACTAGAGTTTGTGGAAGGTTGGGACATGAAAAGCATTTGGATAGTCGCCTTTATTGTCTTTGGGATTGGAAGCTTACTGCTTGGAATTCTTTGGGCAGTTTATAAGCATAGTATTCAGGATGCTTTTACGATCGCGGGTTACATGGTTAGCTTTACCGCGATTAGTGTGGGAGCCATACAGAGCTTATTGGTAATGTAAGGTAACATTTCAATCTACCGGAATGAAGAAGTTCCCTGCCCTGTAACATCTAGCAAAGTTTCGTAAAGCAAGCAATCGAAGCCCATTGCAGCCACTGAGAGGCTGAGCTGGAATATTTTCGACAAGTTCCAATGACGTTACCAATTCTTTTGAAATCATCAAAAGAATTGATGAGGTGCAAAGTGAGTCTAGTTGAAGCAGACTCTTAGCCGCATAAGATGCCAATTCACTACAGCTTTAATATTTCGGGAGGATACTCAAGCTTCGATCTTTCGTGGGAGAACGCCGTCACACCAATTTCCCAGGACAAAGACATTGATTGACATATGTAACATCGATGGGTTCAACACAGCACCATATGTCTTAGCTAAGATTTCTCTAATAACAAAATGAGCCTCGTGTTTCAACTCATTAGTTTTATTTTTCTTGCCTCTCTCTTTCCAAACACCAGAACTGGAAATCCAAATTTCAGCGTCGGAGAAGCAAATAAAAAAACTCTGGAATATGATTGATTCAAGATTTCCAATCCTTAAACCTCCAACACGGGTTCATTCTCGACCGTCCACCCCCGGAGCTTCATTTCTTCATACAGCTTCATTGAGTTGTCCCACTAGATATCCCGCAGAAACAAGAGAAGTTAATAAAAATCTCACACCAAATACTTCAGCTTCATCGCCACCTTCTCCGGAGAAAATTCGCAGACTCGGAGAACCAGAGCGTGCATTGAGATATAAAACGTCATTGACACTTTCACTCCCAGAGGAAGAAACATTTGGTCAACCTAGTATCGACTTACCTGGCTTGAACATAGCCCGTGATTTCGGATTTGGATCGGGTGCTGGATCAAGGACGTCAAGAATCGAAGAGAGAAGATCTGTTGCCTTTGTGGGAGAAACCAGAGAGGATGGCGAGAAGATATTTGAGGGTGTGAATCTTGATGCTCATGAACGACGGATTGGAGACAGAGGACTTAGACCAGAGCCAATGAGAGATGAAGAAGCGGGGGTAACGAAGCAAAGGAGTGTCTCCGAGATGCTTGAGCGGCGGGAAGACGGCGAGAAAGACGAATGCAATAGATACTTTGGTCGCTTTGGGAAAGTTTTGGGATACCTTACTGTGAAATGTTCTTGTCTTTAGGACTCTAGGAGTGGATATGACATAGCAGGCGCGGTCTAGTTGTGAGCTTTCATAAACGAGATTAACTCAACACTCAAATTGAATCCGGTACGTCAAACAGTCTAAGGATTTGAAGATTTTGTTTGAAGTCTAGAACGAAAAGCCTCTATGTTCCAAAATGAAGTGTGGGCTATTCAAAATCACAAGGGTGAGATGATTGTGGTCTATGAATATGAGTAGCCTTCAATAACATGCGAATTAGCACCATTCAATGATTCACAACAATCAAGATTGAGCATTTCCAAATCTCGGACGAGCTTGAAAAGATAGGGTTCCCCCGGGATGGGATTTTCAACATAATGCGAATTTATCGATATGGAACCACCAATTTTTCCCGATGAATACATTAGAATGCAGAAGGAAAATTTGGCAACTAAGATTAGACATATGACAATGAAGTTGAAGATACGACTAATTCCTTTCCAATGCCTTCTTACTCCGACCCCACTCGCACTCCACTCTCCCGGGTATTGTTGCCACCGCAGTACTCTGAAAAAAATAAACCGGCCAATCTTACAGCACTTTTCGAACCGTTGTCAAAAGACAGGAAAACCCACCTTCCAAATGAAGTACGTTGCAGCGATTCCCTGCATATTCCTTGCGAATCTCGCCAATCCGTCTTGATTTCCATAGAACCCGAGATCCGATCAGCATTGGCGTTTATTTGATGGATCCCTCATGAACTTTTCTTCAACCGCAACCAGGCTCAAGCCGGAATTTGTCGCTGCATTTCATTTGGAACTCGCCGATATTCATGGGATTGAGGTCGACAACGACCCATCTTTGTCGGAAATAACTCATTATCAAGAAGTCTTTTGGCTGCAAAACAATTATACTGTGCTAGGTTTTTCCATCCATGAACAGCTGTTGCAGACCGACATTTCAATGATCCTAGATGCAGTCTATTCTCAGCCATCATACATCCTATACCATGGCTACTAACACACACACACACACACAACACACACTCTCTCTCACACACATTCGGAGGTTGTCAGCGTAAGTCGTGTAAGACATTAATTTACCCCACATCTTTCTATAAAAGGAAATTCAGGGATTCTAATAGGTTGAATTATCTTCTTTTGTATTGCTTTAATAAATCTAAATAGAATTAGCACTTCTAAATATTTTTGAGAACCTTATAAAAATCCTTTTAATATTGATAATATTCAAACTCGAAATTTATCAAAATTCATATATCAATATTATCAAAATAGTCAATTATATATCATTATTATTATTTTCAATATCAACCTCCTCATTTACTAAATCTACTTTGCCTTCTTTTATATTACTAGTATCAGAAACTTCAATTCGATACGAAATGATTAGAGATCAATGTATCGAAGTATGTATTCTTTATAAAACTGAATAGAAAATTGTAAAGATACAAGAATATTTTCTTCAAAATAATGTTAATCTAAACTATAGGTAAATAGTTTATATATACTCTATACATGTAATGTGAGCGAAACTTGGTACTGGTCACGTGACCTCTTTCTGTAGCTAGTATTTATAGGTCTTCTTCGTGTAGTTTAGAGAAAAGCAGTCAGTTCCCACCCACCTTCTCGTACGCTTTGTGACGCGCTATGTAGTACCTACTCCTCCTCTCCTCCGCCGGAGGCGCTACGTCTCAGTGACTTATCTGTGGTATTTACGAAGGACTACTTTATGACCCTACCACCTTCTACTCTTTTACAGTAACACCTAAAAAACAATTCGACTGGTTACCAGTTTTATCAACCTCTCAATTTGATTAAATTATTGAATTTATTAGCTTTTTCAAAATATATAGGCGAATGTTATATTAAAAAATAATTCTTGAATTAAAATAAATTAAAATAAATAAATCTATAATTCGAAATAAACTAAAAAGAATAAACTACAAATACTATATTACTCTTTAAAAACCCCCTATTTCAAAAACCAATTATCTAATTTGCTTTCAATTTGTATTAGAACATTTCGATTGAATTAATAAACAATAAAATATTATTTTATAATTAAATAAAATATAAGTAATAGTAGAATCTCACTATAAAATATATATCACATATTATATTAATAAAGTTTTTAATTTTATATATATATTGAAAAAAAAATACAAAAAAACCAAATAAATATTTTGAAATTATTTTTTAGGAAAAGCAAATTAAAAATCAAGTTTATTTTAAAAAAAGGATTAGAATATTATTGATACTAAATCATATCAAACTTATACTATTTCTATTATTAATAATTATATATATATATATCCAGAATATATATTTATATAGAATAAAACTTTTAGATATATTACTAATACTATTCTTATAAATCTTATTAAAAGAGATATTGAAAAGATCAAATAGCTAATATTTAATTCAAATCTCAATCTTATTGAGAATATATAAAATAAGATAAAAGATTAAATTTGGAACTATTATTTATACAACAAAATAATCTATAATAAATTTAGAAAGGCTATTAATAAGATATAGGAAACTATATTACATAAATATTTAATTAATTTATTTAAAAATATAAAAAATAAATATTAGACAATCATTAATATTAATAATATATATACTAAATATTAATAAAATTAATACTTTTTTTTATTCTCAAAAGATTTTTTACAAAACTTTTATTATCTAAAGTTTATTATATTAATTTTTAAAGAGTGTAAGGTTTTTATTAACTAAAACCCTTATATATAGGGAAAAGCTTGGCCACTTTTTGATGTGTTTTACAATACTTATACTGACAATCTCTGTTCATACAGGCTACACGATGCAGCTACAGCTTTGCAGCATCCAAGTACGTGCTTTCTCCGAACAACTGACTTTTATTTTGCTCCGATCAAAGTTACTTGTCACAGAGGCGTCGATACATCTTTCATGGATATGTTAGAAAAAACTCTTGGACAATTCCAGTTAACCGAGCTTCATATGGGCGCAAAAACGAGATACCTAGGAATATACCCACTCTCCAATATTCAATATCAAATCAAACAATCAACATTTGGAATCAAGATTCAGATGTATATATCAAAAAACCTTTGTATTATTCAAATGTTATGTCTTGAATACGTTACAATGGAACGAATACTGATTTCGTGATTGAATATCTAAATATCAAATTCCTGTATGATTTTGTTTGGGTGAAGCCGAGGTAGGATCCAAGCGGGGCAGGGCAAGCGGAAACAGGGGGGTTGATAATTCCGACGTTTTTCTTCCAGGCTGGCTGTGGTAAGCAAGTGGACCATCCATCCATCGTTAGTTTTCGTTTTTCTTTATCCTGGAATGCTGAAGTAGTTGTTTCTAAGTGGGGAAACTCTGGACCATGATATCAATTGCGTTCCTCATTGTTTTCTTCCATATATTAAATAGGCTCATTAAATAGACTCAATATTAACAGACTTTAGTATTCTGTAAGCGAGATGCAAGCCATTCGGACGCCTTTCCCCAATGGTTACAATTTACATATGGTTCGGCTTCTATGAACAGGTTTCTATTCGCAAGTGCAGCAATAGAGTGAGTTGTTTACTTGTCCACAGTACTAGATGTATGCGAGATGCATTGCATTGTAGTGCAGTGCAGAAATGTTCTATCGGCTGAGGGCATATGTTGAAGGCTGCACGTCGATTTTCTCGGAACTCGGAGCCTAGTTCCAAGCCAGATTAGTCCCAACCTCCGGTGCAGATATGAAAAGTAATCGCAGAGATAGTGGGTCGATAGATCTACAGGTACGGTTTTCCATCGTGGTATTCATGATTTGTAGTTTGCTTGACATTCGTTGAAGGCATGGGGGCTTAGGAAAGCATGTCCTGACTGCAGATTTTGCGATTACGCTATCATGAACTAACCTAGTACTTGCTATACCGAAGCTCGTCAGGCCATTTTTGGACACGAGCATCAGATCCAAGTTACTGAGAAGAATGGGCGAGGCGGTTCTTTTATTCCTCGCGCGATGAGTCCAAGGCGGGCTGCTTGAGAATTATATAAGGAAGTGTTGTCTCTGTGTAATGTTTCTCCCCATCCCCATCATCACCAAGACGAGAAATTAAATTCTATCCACTATTCGATTACATCACATACCGCCTAATAAGATCTGCCTTATCCTCCTTATCAGCCTCACATCACCAAACATGCTTGCCTCATTGATCACTGGCCTCTTGGCTCTCACTGCCATCTCTGTCTCCTCTCCAATCCCCGCAACCAAGCGCGACACTGCCGAGCTCTACATTCTCTCCAACTGCTACAACAATCTCACACATGCTTCCTACGCCTCCGCGTTCTGGTACTACCCAGATTTTCTCCCAGATTACCCAGAACCACAAGCTGTCGGTGTCATCAACGCTAAAAAATCGGTGACCTTTGAAGGCCTCAATATCGCCATTAAAGCCCCATTCAAATTGTCAGCCGCTATCCCAAAAAATGCTACATTGGCTACTTATCAAGAGATTGTTGCATCGGCCACCATTAGCAGTTTTGCTGGCCCAGCTGCGGCCATCAAAGGCACTGGAGAGGCTTTCTATAGCCCTGCAACCAATGTCAACTGTTATTACAATTATGCCGTCAGGGATGTAAGTCTTAACAGCCCTTCTATCTGAGCGACTTAAATGCTGATAAATAGGATTAGAATCAAACCGAGGATCCATGAGCACTTCGTCGCAAGCAGAATTATGACAGATGCAAGAAAGCCTCATTGGCCTGGATGGAACAGGATTGATTAGATTTGCTACTCTTGCGTACGGCTGTGTTAGATGGGTTAACAATTGATGACTGCATGATCAGCAACGACAACGATGACAACGACAATAACGAATCAACGACTATGAATAATAATTAGAACACATAAAATTTGAATAATAGACAGGTTTTTTTTCGCAAATACAATTATCCCTACAATTTATCCGTGACTTGTAATCCGTATTAGATGCAAAAACGAAATCTTACTCAATGGCCAAACTATTGAACAGTACTTTGACTTTTGATAAAATGCAGGTCAGGAAGTGCCTTGGCTTACATCACCTTAAGTAGCACATTAAAAATTATCGAAGGCACTCATGATGATACGAAGGAAAGTCACACATCTTACGCAGAAGATTTCTGGGCCGTTTAATGAAAGGTCAGCGAAAACATCTTGCTGCTGATTTTTTAGATCGATGCATTATTTGCCCTTCGTGATGAATTTTTTGTGTAAAAGGGTCATCCAGATTTTATCTGTAGATTGCGATTTGTAAATTCAGGAACGTCGTCAATCACCCGGGGCCGATATTCATGTCAAAATCTTTGTGAATTCATTTGCCCAACTCTAAGTTGCCCCTGAGCAGTCAGACTTATTCTTCGGCTATTGATTCAACATCGATCGCCCCGGTGGTTCGTCTCTTGATCTTATTACCAAACTAATCAATCCTAGGTTTGGTAATCTTACAATCCATGTATAATTTCAAGATTGGTTGGTTACAATGAGACCAGATGTATGACATCTTCAGTCGCTACTTTTTCGGCTGTGACTGTGTGTATTGGGCTTTCAAACCAGCGAGTAGAAAGAAGACCCGTCAAAGACTTTCAATTATTCATCAGAATCCTTGAACTATACCACTCAAGTTGAGATGACAGTCGTCAAGTGCGAAAGTCATTGTCACTTTCTTGGAGCGCGGTTTTTATTAACCAAGACCAGATCTAATGTCGTGTAGATTTCTTTGTTTTGGGTATCATTTTCTTTGGGTACTGTTAACGAGTACCAGGAGTAAAAGGAGCCAAGGTCTACTAGCACGCTTTCCAGAAAGAGCACTTTCTTTGATTGTAGGGAACTTGGGGTTTTCTGGATTACTTCTCGAAGGGCCATCTCTTTGTCGTGCTTGATTATTAACCTACCATCTTGATCTAGATCTTTTAAGTCAGATGAATGAAAAGCGTTTTCCTGTTCCTAGCGATCTACAGAAGCTTTGGAACATCTATAGAAAACAAGAATTTGATGATTCCCACGTCAGATGGGATAGTTCCCTGCCAAGTTTTAGCCCCGAATCACTATTTGACTGTCCTTTTGTTTTCACACGAACGTGTCCAATCAGAGTACAATATAGATTATGGGGAGAAATTGGACTCCCTCTGGAATAAAAAAGGGAACTGGGAGCCGGAGCCTTTTTAGGGAAGATTTCAATGGCTGCCCATGATGACATGCGGTGAGAAAACACCAAATAGACGAAGAGATTTGAAATCCCATCACGCGATATCGAACACATAAGCCTAGATGAGAACTCTTTGTCTACTATCCCAAGTCAAGAAAACAGAAAGAAACCGTCTGATTCTTTCACACTTGTGAAGTAAGAGCCCCAGCCCGGTACATGTAGCAAGTTGTGACTAGTATTGTCGAGATAATTAAAGAGACAAGTCATCTACAGTTCACCCTCAATCAGGATATCCTGTTCGAATCTTTAGATACTGTATTGTTCACCCGAAGATTCATCTTAATTCGAGTATCATGGCTCCATTACAAAAGTTATGGGCGTTTCTAATGCCCAGAATGCCTCAAGAAAATCTGGGGGAGATTTTCTCCAATTTACCTTCCTCCACGCTTGAAAACATTGCAGCATTTCAGCCTCCACCGGGCGTTACTGCCAACTGGGAGAACCCCGATTCTCACAGAGAGATATTGATAATTATTCCTACTATCATGATGTGTTTGATGATAATATGTATAATTGTGAGAGCTTGGGTGGTATTTTGGATTATGCGACCTGTGAAGCTGAGGTGGAGTGATAGTGAGTTTTCCCTTAATCTACTTAAGAAAGCACCCACAACTGACAGGCTTTTCGTAGTGACCTTTACTCTTACAGTAGTATGCAAAATCCTTGGAAATTCACAAAGGCTGGATCATACTGACTTGTAAATTTCAATAATAGCTTGTTGCTATCACTCTCTATGTCGTTGTGATATTGTGTACGCATGGCATCTTCTGGCTCAATTCAATCACTGACGGTAACTAACCTTAATTTAGCCGCCACAGGTAATGGAACTTTCGGGCTTCATAATTGGGATTTTCCAGTTTCGCAACTATTATCCTACCGAAATTTGATTGTACGTCTCCTCGCGCTGTCACATTAATTAATGAGCTCTTCGTATCACAACTAACATAAATCTGTAGACAACTGGTCTATTACCATGGCTCACGCCTCTCACTCTGGGCTTAGTGAAGACAACCATATTTTTGACCTATATGGAAATATTCCGTAGCATGAAGTGGATGAAGATGGCGTGTCTAATCGGGCTTTCATTCACCGTCGTATGGTATTCTGCGATTACCATTGCCGGGATATGCTTGGCTGTTCCACTGGGCGGCGAAGGATGGGTGAAGCACCTGTTCACCTCACGTATGATTCAACAAAACGCTCTTAGCATCCCGACGGCTGTAGCGGGCTTAGCCATTGATTGTTATCTATTGTGAGGGAAATGTGTTTTAGTCCTCCTGTCGTATCATTGCTAATACCTCAATTTCTTAGCGTTTGACCGATAATTGCGCTCAATAAATTGAAGATGACTCGGAGGAAGAAGTTAGGTGCAGGGTTGATCTTCGCCACTGGATTCTTGTCAGTTTGATCTATCTTTACCTGCTCTGAACTAAATAATGGTTTCAATGACTGACGTTGCAGATAGTGCTATTGTAGCATCAGTAATGAGCGTTGTGTATCGTGTTATTCACGGTAGTGAACACGGGGACAACACTTGGTGGTTGGTACCTATAATGTCAGTTACGTAAGTATCAGTCCCACCTTTGATGTTTATGTCTCGATCTAATGGATCAATTTCGACAGAATTACCGAAACGTTCATTGGCTTTATCATTGCTTGTGCCTGGCATTTTTCAAAATTCCTGCGCACATATGAGCAGTCTTTTTTGAGAGCTGGCTTGATAACCACAAATTTGTTTTGCTGCAGATGCAAAGGTTCTCGGGGTGAGAACTCTGTTGACCCCAAAAGCAGTGAAGCATCCGATACGGTGGATGATTCAAAGGTATCTCGAGAAAAGGTTAAGCCAGCTCCGAAAATGTATCCCGGTCTCGATCTTACGTCTCGTGGTGAAACCGTATTGGTGACAGAATTGGATAAAAATGAGAACGTTCCGAATAGAACAGAAAACCAGAAGGTCGACAGTAGCATGGAATATGCTCAGGCTGAGGAGAGTTCCACGATAGGCGAAAATAAGATATCACCAACAAGGTGAAGCGATGATAATCGACGGATAGATATCTGTAGAGAGGTTGTCGAATGACAGGGAGAACAATTTGAATATTTGATGAAGAATAAACGAGCGCATGACCACAAAAATTTGGAAGCAGAATCTTGTACAATAACGATAAAAAACATTTGCTTAGTTGTAATGGCAGAATATGGCAATGACTGTGTACTTGTGATTGACGAAACCAAAGTTTTGTAGCAGTATCACGAGCGTTCTGAAGGCAAAATCGGTAGATATTGTCTCAAATGATTCAACTCTCTTCTTGTGCCGCGAATAGGACTACGAAGGGGCCAGTGACGATAACTATAGTCACACAACCTCCGGTATCAAGAAAAATAGGAATTAAAAGGTATTAAATCCACGGATATCATCTACACAATTATGAATCCGAAAATCAAGCCGCTTGACCGATATCCCATAATCCTGGAAGCAACCTTAGGATGTACAAAGCTTTCAGCAAACCTCGAGTGTTGATTCGAAGAAGGCCATCAACGTCGCGAACTACAAACGTGATCGAAAGACTTAAGTTTCATACTTCAGAACCACGAAGATATGCTGAGCCAGATAGGAAGAGGAGGATGAGGAGGAGGAAGGAAGAGATGAGGACGAGGACGAGCGAGGGTAAGGATGAATATAAGGAAGAAGTAAATCAGGCGAAGAATGAATGAGGGGAGTCTGCATACTGCATCCTACTATCATTATCGAAGTCGATACAGCATTTTGAAGACAACTGAGCCATGAAAAGATGTCATTGAATTTATTGTCATTGAGATATACCAGACGCCACTCACTGGCATTGTGTTCATCTGGTGAAGTTTCGATGTACCAAAAAAGGATTATGTAATCGCAATAGTTTTTCCCCACACTGGCCACTCACCGCTTTTGGTCTGGCAAAAAGAATAAGCTAAACGGGAAAAAGAAAAGAAAAAATGCAAGACCCTTACTCCACTTTGATTGGTCCCACTTCATCCACTTTGAGCAATTATTGTCAATACCTTCGTAAGGTATGATGTGATATGGAGGGGCTAGAAGTTTAACGTTGAATGGAAGAGGGGTTCTTTTTTTTTCTTTGTGCAAAGACAAGTGTACAGATGTCAGATAGTCTATCGTTGATCTCACCCCCAAAACAGAAGAAATAGTTCAAGAGTAACTAGGTCCCATGTATGACTACTATACGACTAGGTAAGGTTACCATTGACTTAAGAAGCATGAGTCGTCCGGTAAGGTAAGGTAAGGTAAGGTAAAGTAACCCAGGTAGGTAGGTTGGCAACCGAGTAACAGGGGCAAAGTTGATTCCTGAGACACACATCAATCAGCCTCAAGAGTCAAATATACATACATTACATACTCCGGATATGCATTGATATCTTGAGGAATGGATGAAATCCTTTCCTCCAGTCCCTCGGGATGAAACACATTCTCGATGAATCATTACTTCTATGGCATTCCTGCCTTCCTACGAACTAGATAGATTGCCATGACGTTAGATGCCGTAGATCTGCGATACCACTCGCCAACCTACCTATCCTATCTACCTACCTCAAAAACCGAAGATCCCGTTTTAGACAAAATCCATCTCCTATCCACAACCAACTATGTGCTGGTTTTGCGAACACCTTGTTATCTTGATGTTAGTTTCTTCCCCGGAGTCTACGAATGTGAGCGTCGATTTGAGCTAAAGTCCTCTGTGGTAACCTAAAGAGAAAGAAAGATTTTAACAATGTCCGCCAATACCGCATAACAAATTCATCTCTTCTTTCAATGGCCTCATTGGGAACACATATTTTCTGCATGTACGATACGGAGTAGAAGAATATTATTCTTTGCTAGGGATATGCGTTGTTAGTTATTTTGGGATGGAAATGTATCCACAGGAGAGAAGAAGAGACTGGACCGTTGTACTCCGTACATGATACATCGTATACAATTGCCCCGCCGTAGCATCAAAATCTCCACTTCCAAATTTGCTATCGACTGACTATTTTGCCATGAATAATTCGATATTCTAACTTTGAGGCTTCCAATTATCACCAATAACACCACTTCTTCTCCCATTCCCTGCTGGTCTTCTCTCTTTACATCATACAACTCTGCTCCATACTTGGGAGATTTACACTGCACAGGATTTTTCGATGACTACTTACGTTCTATGGCTCCATATCTCCATATAAATGTACGGAGATTGTTATCCTTCTGACGAATACCAAATGCGACGATTTGGTGCATATCAATCTTTTCCAAAGTTGTCATACATGTATCTAAGTTCGACCTAGCTTGTGCATCCCTATACTATACTATCATGCATCCATGACTTGATCTAGCTTTGGAAAATCTCTCTAGATGACTCCGAGAAATTGACTACCTAGGTAGTGAAGCAAATGCCTTGATCTGGAGTCAAGAATTCTTCCTAGATGACTCCCATCAAAATGATAGAGGCTAGCTGTTGACGAATGAAACTGATTCCTTTCTTGTGTACCTACTTTTTCTCGTCTTGGCCGAGGTCAGAATATCCATCCGGTAAACCTAATTCACTTTTTCTATTCAACACCTGAGTATTATGACTCTAAGTTATCATTTGGAAAAAGTGACTTCTGAGTAGTCGATAGAGTGATGCTTCGCTGACCCTCCGGGGGCCACTGCCGTGGAGGCAGAATACTTTTTCCTCCTACGACAATGACTGTTCGGAGTTGGACCACGTAACTATGTAGGTACTCTCGAGTAGGTAGATGGTCTTTTGATATCAATGATAGTAGCGGTGAGCGATGAACCTACCTACCCGCCCAAGTGAAAGGTAGTAAAGAGCACGACCTACCTGCTGGATGGTAGGAGGTACAGACAGAGGCGTGACTGAATCAACCAATCATATCCAATGTTATAGACCAATCAGTCAATTTCGGTTGAAACGTTCATGTCGACCAATTCCCATATTATTTTTCTGCAAGGATTATCGACGTGCACGCACAATTTATTAGCAGAAGCTCAAACCAAAAGAAGAGAAGGAAAAAAAAAAATCAATTTCCATTTCAATTACCTACCTAGTACGTACTTGGTACCCAGTCGAGCCAGTCCAGTCAGCTAGTCTCTCCCAGTAATATTCACTTTGCACTTGCAATCGTTAGCGTCAATTTATGAAAATTGTCACCCCCTCCAAAAACTTAATTATGTCTTCTCTTCCTCTCACTCTCCCTCTTCCACCTCAACAACCCAAATTCAACATCAGACAACGAAGTCACCCTACACTTATTCAAATAAGTATATCCTCACAATTATCAATACGTCGAGACAATGCCGCAGGCCATCGCTGAGCAGTGAATACCCACTACAGCATGCTCAACCGGGCATGTCTGTAGTCCCTTCAGCCAACGAGTAAATTCCCAATCTTATACCATTCGATCTTGACGAAATCACTAGACTTTCACTGTCTTACCAGCCGACTTGCAACAAATTGGTCTAATATAATTCGAAAGTTTCAAATTCAATCACCGTTATTGATCGAGCTCAACCCTTGCCATTTCCCAAGGTGAGAAGGCTCTCATCGACCAAACGAACCAAAATCAAAACTTTTACCTACCGACAACCTACACAACCTCGAATCTTTCAATTGACTTGAACACAATCCAAGACCAACTCTCATAGACTCGATTGTCATATTTCACAACGCACGAGTCATAATTTACCACAAAATATTACCTTTACACTCCACCCATCTGCAACCTTCCTCTCACCGCCGATACTTTCGGTCATACGCAATCGACCCCACAACAAATTATTCTTGCAGATTATATAAAACACAAACACAATGTCTCGAAACACACAAGGACAGTCTTTCAAGACCCCCCCTAAGATCAAGCTCAAGTTGAAGAATTCCAAAAAGGTCACAGATTACTCCTCCGACTCTTCGTATGCTGCTGTGGATTTGATCAGTGATTCTGAAGACAATGATTCAGAGGACGAGCCCGATGTATTTGGGGGGACCGGGGGGTCTAAGATTGAAAAGTACGAAGAAGCAGCTATGTTCGAATCGGCTGAAGAAGATGACGATTTAGAGACTGTCGAGGAGGATACTGATGTACAAGACACACCTCGAGCAACAATGAAGTTTGAAGACTGGGAAGGAATTGCTGATTCGCCAGAAGAACTGGCCGATAACTCTAGGTTTTTCGAGGATAATATGATCGAGGAGTACAAATATCGTTCCAATGGTGATCTCAAGAGGGTTAACAAATTCACCGACGATGATACAGATAGCAGCATCTCTGATGATGAGGATATGTGGCACCCTGATCTATTCGACACCGCGACCTCCGCTCAAGGTCCATTCTTGAGTGCCGACGCACTTCCACCTCGTATCGCAAGAGGACTGGAGGATGACACATACAATGATGACGATCATGGATCTGATCCAGATTTAGAATGGGGAAACGAAAACAATGATTCGGGTAATTCTGGAGAAAGTGATAGTGATGAATCAGATGCATCTGGGTATCAATGTAAGTGAATTCAACAAGCATAGCTGTTGAGCCGAGGACTAACAACCATGTCTTGTAGCTGATCTTAGCGATGTCTCGGGTGGAGATACAACTGACGATGAAGATTGGAGAGAGAATCGTCCAGAAATAGATGCATCTACACCCCGAGGCAATTCACCACCACCTCCACCATGCCTTGGTTTTCGAATTCAGCGCAAAAAGGGACAACCTGATGTCATTACTTGGTATCACAATACTGATGTACCCTTTGTTATATTAGACGAGCATGGAAAGGACCTTTTAATGTACTCTTCCGACCCTACCAGACTTCAGGATATTAGCTCACCTTCACCCCTTAGAAACGGCAGCATGGAACAGTACAATCCAGTCCTTAGCAATCAAGCCAACATTATGATGAGCGCAGTATCAGATACCCCATCCGAATTTGGATCTTACCACACTGGTAACCCAGAAGCTTTTTTCGAAAATTCCGTTTTCATGAACGAGAATGCCGTTCGCCCAACAAGTAGTTCATCATATGACGACAGCGATGATCAGAATGAACCTCTTGATTGGGGCGACTTGCTACACATGGATGAGGCATTAGATGAGGAGCAAGGTGAATCTGTAGACGATCTAGCCGAAACACCGTCATCTACCCCTGCTCGCCCAACGACGTCCGATGGCCTTCACCCCCTTCTGGTCCATCTTGACAAGAATACCAACGTCGGTGCTTTTCGCCTTAATCGACAGAACGAAAACCTCATCAACAGCAATACTGTTTCTAAAGATGCACTAGCATTCGGAACCTCCACAATCAAAGGTGTTAAGAATGGACACCTCGATTCTCTTACGAGCTCTTTAACCCCTCGACGAAAACCTAAAACCCTCATGCCATCTAGTCCCGCCGGTGACGTCGCAAACCGAAAGCGGAAATCGAGCGGTGCATCTCAGGGACGTCTGCACAAGAGAAGTCGCAGCAATGCATGAAAAATTATTGCATACATCTTGCTTCCAACTTCCGCAACTCGCGATTACTCAATAATCATTCCTGAACAATGATTAATTACGATGATGGACGGCATGACACCTTTTGACTGTCATTCCTGGCCTCAAATTTCTTTTTGTCTAATTATTTTCTTTGTACTTTGTATATCTAGCGTAACGATGGATGAATTGGCAATAGACAAAAGCATGGT